CCTATCAGTAGAATAACATGCAGTTGTAGAAAAGAATGAAGAATGGTCCCCAAGATCAATTTTTTAATGATAAAAGCAGGATGCAGAACTGCGGGCAGAGTATGCTCTCATTTTTGTAAAAATGGAAGGAAAATAGTTCGCATGTGATTTTGTTTGCCCGTACACCGAAAAGGAATGCCAGAAACCACTCTGGGGGGCTCAGGAGGCTAAGGTTTAGGAGAAGTGGGCTTTTCACTACATACTTTTTTATATCTTTTGAAATGTGAACTATCTGAATGTATTACTTATTCAGATGTGAAAATTATAATTTTAGGAAATAATCAATTTCCTGCTGTGTCCTGTATCCCTGCCTAGAGTGTGGGTTCCCCCAGGGCTGGCCCTGGTCTCAAGTGTCCACGATTGTCAGGAGACACTCAGGGAGTATCTGGGCGGCGGTGAGGAGATCGCCGTGTTCCAAGTCAGCAAGACAGGGGTGCAGGCAGGGCGGAGAGCGAGGAGGAGGAGAGCGGGCAGGAGGGCGCGGCTGGGTCTGAGCTGAGGACAGAGGCTGAGCTGAGCACAGGTTCATCTACCTGGGGGGCCGGAGCCGGGGAAGCCTGGCTGTCGGGGGCCTGAGGGCCCGGGCCAGCTCCTTTGGCGATGGGGGTGGCCGGGGCTGGGTCTTGGGCGGGAGGCGGGGCGCTGACTATGACCGAGGCGGGCACGGAGAGGTGGGGGCCCTCTGTGGAGAGGGGCTGCTGGCTCCTCTCCTGCAACAGGCGGCCCGCACAGGGTCAGAAGGCCACCCCACAGGCCCTCAGCCTCCCCACCCGAGACCCCCGCCCCGCTGCCGCCTGCGGAAGGCGCAACCTGGCAGCACATCACACCCTGAGCTCCGTGGGCCCTCTGCCAGCTCCCCCCACTTTCCCTCTCTCGTGCCCCGCCCGCCCGTCCCTCTGTCCCTGTCTTGCCCACTCCCTCTCTGAGATCCCTCCCCTTGTCTGAAAGCTGGTCCCTTCGCCTTGTCTGTCAGTCACCCTGCCAATCCGTCCCCCTCCCAGCTTTGCCGGGCCCTTCACCCCCTGGGCCGCCTGTGCCATCACTGAGACATTCTCCCCAGCCCACAGGACCCTGCCCGCTGCTGCCTCAGCAGCAGCTGATTTCAGCTCCCGGCCCCTCTACCAACCCCGACTCCTCAGCACCTGCTCCCCTGCGGGCCGGCCCTGGTTACCTGGGGCAGGAACATCTGCAGGGAGTCCTGAGTGAGGATGGCGGTGGCTGCGGCAGAGGGCGGCTGCCCCAGGACGATCTTCTCCGGGCTGGACGCCAGGCCTGGGCTGGGCTGGGGGGTGGTGGCCTGGGGCGGGGCGGCGGCCTGCGGGGTGGGGGCCTGCGGGGGCTGCTGCGCCTGTGGCTGTTGGAGGCCCAGGGGCAGTGGCGTGCTGACCGCTGGGGGCGCCTGGGGGGAGGGCTGCACTGTGAGGACAGGCGTGGCCTCCCCAGCAGTGGCGGCGGCAGGGGTGGCCGGCTGCACCAGCCCATCCGGGGTGTTGAGCATGGCCACGGCGCTGGGGGGCAGAGTGACCCCTTGGAGGACGGTAGTGGCAGCGGGGCCAGCGGGGGCTGGCTGGCTCTGCGTGGGCAGACTGCCTGCAGCCAGCGACACGGGCATCTGGAAGAGCGCCGACTGGCCCACCTGGATGGGGGCGGCCGAGAGGATGTGGGCCGCACTGTGGGCCCCAGAGTGGGGGGCCAGCACGGGGCCCAGGCTCAGCGGGCCCGCCAGGTTCTGGTTGGTGAGGATGGGGTTCGCGATGAGCTGTCCGCCCGCGTGGGGGGCTGCGGCCGCCAGGATCTGCCCGCCCACGTTGGCCGGCAGGGCTGAGAGCGGCTGCGGGAGCTGGACCGCGGGCGTGCCGGGCAGCAGGAACTGGTTCTGGCCCGGCAGCATGTGCTGGGCGGGGATGACGATGCTGCTGCCTTGATTCAGAAGGTGGACGCTCATGGGCTTGCTCAGGGCCCCGGGGGGCTGAGGCGGAGCTGCCCCCGTCGTGGTGGCCGGTGGCTGCTTGAAGACGTTCGCCTGCAGAGCGGGCGCGGGGAAGCCCGACAGCACCACATTCTGGCCCGCCTTGCCGGCCATGAAAGTCAGGTTCTGGGGGGCCTTGGGCTGCTGCGGGAGGCCCGCTGGCTCGCCCTGGATGGTGAGCGTGGCGCCCGTGGGGGCAAACGGCTTGGGCGTCAGCTGGTAGAGCTTGGGGGGCAGCACGCCAGTGGGCTTGGGCTGGATAGGCGTGGGGGTGCGATGCAGGATCACGTTGGGCGCCGGGACCAGCGGTGACGTGCCGAGGCCTGGGGCCACCGCCAGCGGCTGTCCCGAGGGAACTCCACTGGCCGCTGCCGTGGCAGCCCCCGCCCCTGCAAACACAGAGTTCCCGTTGAGCGTGGTGGCCACGGCGGCTGAGAGGTTCTTCTGGATGACCAGGCCAGCCCCCTGGGGGGAGACACCGGCCGATGCCAGGGTCACCGGCTCCGAGGGGCCGGCTGCCGAGGCCAGGTAGCCACTGACAGGCACCTGCTTGGCCAGGAGCTGGGAGGTGGGTGTGTTGAGCGCCATGACAGGCTGGCCCACCACCTGGATTGGGGCCAGGCCAAGTGTGGCCGCGGTGGCGCCCCCCGGGCTGCCATTGGGCAGGCCTTGGAGGCCCGGGATGGGCTGCAGGGTCACGTTGCCCAGGCCCACGGGCTGCAGGAAGGGCTGGACGCTCAGGGCCTTGTTGACCACATCCTGGGGCGGCACCAGGGCCTGGTGGGTCAGCACAGTGGGTGGGGCCTGCAGCCCCAGCAGGTCGGCACTGCCCGGGAAGAGGGCCTGGGGCCCCGCAGCCACGGCGGCCGCCCCTCCAGCACCGGTCGGACCTGCCCCGCCATCTGCGGGCTGCAGTGTGGGCAGCTGGAAGGGTCCCAGGTCTAGCTCAGCCTCGGCCTCGAGCGTCTGCTCGGTGATGTTGGCCTCTTGGAGGCTCTGCTGGAGGATGTCGCAGGGCTGGTCGGCGCCCCCGCTGCCCCCGCCACCACCCCCTGTTGCAGGAGAGCCCAGGATGTCATCTTCCAGAAAGTCTAGGTCCACGCTGGGGGCCGGCTGGCTGGGCTCCGGGTTCAGGTGGTTGCCAGAAGCTTCTTGCACATGGAGCTGGAGGCCAGGTAAGGTGGGAAGGAAAGCTAAGGTTAGCAAGGCGCTGGGCTGCGGCCACAGCTAAAGCAAAGAACACTCGGGTGTCAGGGCAGCCATGTTCAAGAAAGAACATTCCATTTGCAATTGGCTGGATCCGCGATCAGCTGCTCTGCCAGGGCTTGGCTGTGCCAACCGGGGGCTTGCTTAATCTGACCTCAGTTTCCCCATCGGTACTTATCAGTGGAATGTAATAAAAACAATTTTTTTAAATAGTCATACAAGCCCACAACACTTATCTGTAATTCCAAAACCCAAAAAGCTCTAAAAAACAAGAATGTTTTCCTAATTCTTTTGGCAGCAAAACTTAACCAGAACTGATGTGGCACTTTTGGTGGAACACATTTTTCCTGTAACGCGACTCGTTATAAATTTGGCCACAGAAAGGTGAGGGTGTGACGTTACATAGGGCACGAATACCGTGTCACCTTTCCAGGACCTGAAAAATTCTAAAGTCTGAAACCCACAGGTTTCCGACAAACAATCACAGTCCTGTCGGACTAAAGATCCTGCTGGTGGCTGCAGCTGCCACTTGTGGGCTCACGTACCAACTGTGCTGCAAGTTCCCTGCTTTCTAGATGCTTTTCACGCTGCCGTGGACCAGGACACACATGGATAAATATTAATACATATGCATGCATATGTGCAGAACATGCCACAAGCAATACTTGAGCTTATGGCACACAATGTCCACGGATATCTGACCAGATAATGCACCGAAACCTGCAGTTTGAAAGAGCTGACTTAATCCACGTGGAGGGCGCACAGCAGGACCTGGCAGCCGCGTGGAACACCATCTCTCATCGTTACTGTGCATGTTGTTATTCATAACAGCCCAGCCAGGCGGGCGCTGCTCGCTTCCCTACTTCACAGAGGGGCGCCACCCCGGTCACCCGGCTGGTGAGTTGAGGAGAGTGGCTGGCGGGACGGGGTTCCGGCTCAGCCTCCAACTGGGGACCAGGCCACTGTGCCGCTCTGATTTCTTAACAACTAAGTGGCTGTACCCAACCTGACTCCTGGGATGGCTGGGAAAATTCCCTGACATCAGGTATGGGGAGTGCTTGGAACCCAACCAGGGACCTTGCCGGTACGAAAAAATATGGTAATGATGAGAATAAGGATCACAAAATAACAACAACATACGATCGTTATTGCTATTGGGTCTACAAATGTAATAACATTAACGTGATAGCAATTGTGTTTCTGGATCTAATCATTTATATTATGAAAGATAAATTATTTGGAATATAATATTATAGTGTTGTGAAAACTAAACAAAAATTACCATAAGGGGCCTGGCATATGACGATCAATTGTTATCAAGATGAAGAGGGGAGGTGCAGGAAGAGGAGGGGGAGGGGGAGGGAGGAGAGGGAGTGGCGTGGCTGGCAGTTAGGCTGGCACTTAGTCTGGGGGGGGGGGGGGGGCGTGTGCCCAGCACAGCCAGGCACACAGCAGGCACCTAATAAATGCCCTCTGCCTCCCCGACTCTGGGCTTTGCTTCACTGTCTAGGTGGCGACGGTGGTCTGTGGGTGAGGAGGCCCCTCCCCACATACGGTCTCACATCTCCCACTGCTGAGTCTGGGCAGGACCCCAGGCCTCCCCCAAGCCCCTAGAGGAGTGGCCCTCAGTGGACCCCGGAGCTGGCGTCTGCCTCAACTCCCCAGAACTGCTCTGTACTGGCTGGCCTTCAAGGCCCAAGGCCTTGGGGACCCTCCCCTTGTTCTCCAAGGGGCCTGCAGGGCTTGGCCATCTTTGCCCACGTCAGCCTCTCCCTCCCTGCTAGGCTCTCCCACCTCTGCTCCCTCCTGCACAGCCAGGGTTCTGGTAGCCACGTCCCACCTCCAGCCCACGAGCTCCCAGCGACTGTCCCCAGCCCTCCTCCCATCAAAGCCCCTCAGGAGGATGAGCCCAAGCCTCCCCTCTGGCCTCCAGGGCCTCCCTCCCACTGGCTGCCTTCATAGGCAACTTGGGCGACGAGCAGGAGCCGCGTCACTTACCCCAGGACCTTCATAGAAGGCACTTTGGGCCTCCCCGGGATTATCCAGGAGGTCGTCACTGTCGAGCTGCAACGAGACCCACCCCACCCAAGGTCAAAGTCAGCAGGGCAGGCCCATGCTCTGGAGCAGAAACCAGTTCAGAGCTACTCAGGACAAGGGGTAGGATGGAGGGGGCTGGGGTATGGCAAACTCTGGCCCCAGAGAAGTGGGCTTGCACGCTTAAAACCCAAGGCGTCCCCAACGCCACGTCCCCTAGCCTGCTCTCTGAAGCTCTTCTGACGTGCCTGCCCTGAACTCGAGATTCCTGCCTCTGTGCCGCTGCCCGAGCTGTGTCCCCTGCTTTGGCCCCTCAGTCCCTTTGGCAGCACATCCTTCAGCAGCTGGCACATGTGCCACCTCCTTCCAGCGAGTGCCCGCCCCTTCTCGCTGAGCACTCCTCCCTACGCAGCCCAGCGCCTGGCGCGCCTCACCATCCGGGCATCTGACACGCCATGCTGTCCCTGTCTCTGGGAGGGCAGGGACCGGCTCCAACTCCCAGGGGCATCTTTGGTGCCCAGAACAGGCCCTGGTAGCCACATAAACACCAGTGAATGTCTGTCCATGGCTGAAGCCTCCCTAATTCCTCTCCAGCTGGACGTCTCTCCAGAACCCCAACTTGTATCTCCGATATTACCCCCTGGACTTCTGGAATCTGCCCCCAAATCCCAACCTCAGAAAATGGCACCACAATCCACTCAGTTACTCAAGTCGAAATTCAGGAGTCATTCTGCATACTCTCTCTCCCTCAACATCTAATCCACCAGTAGGTCTAGTTGATTCTACCTCCCAAATAGATCCCAAATCCAGCCTCGCACGTCATCCACTGCCTGCACGGTGGCCCAGGCCACCATCATCCTATTGCACTCACCTCTGCTCTACAAATTGTTTGATACTTCTCCTGGTGGAGTTCAATTCCCCTCCCTGTGAGCGTGGCAAGACTTAGTGACTCCCTCTAGTAACAGTGTAACAGAAGTGAGGGCACGTGACTTCACAGAGTAGGTCACTAAAGATGCTGCGGCTTCCTCCTTGCTCTCTTACATCACTGGCTCTGGGGAAGAGCAGCTGCCATGTCGTGAGGACACTCAAGCAGCACTATGGAGAGGCCACGTGGTGAGGGACTGAGCCTTCCTGCCAACAGCCACAGGAACGAGTCACTGTGGAAGCACATCCATGAGCTCCAAGCAAGCCTGCAGATGACCACAGCCCCAGGCCACATCTTGACTGCAACCTCAGAGTCCCTGAGCCAGAACCACCCAGCTAAGCTGCTCCCAGATTCCTGACCCTCAGACACTGCAAGAGCTCTGACAAATGTTTAAGTCACTACACGTTGGGATAATCTGTTGCACAGCCATAGATAACTAATATATTGGGTTATTAAGTACGGAATGTCCGATTTCCTTAAGTATTACGTTTGACAGTTGCTATCTCTGACATTTCACTTTGACTCTTGGGTTGTTTTTTTATTATTATTATTATCGTCAAGGTACATCCTCATTCTTTCAAATGCACATTTTGGCTTGCGATTATCTTTCAAATTTTTTTTTAGAGCGACTTTTGTGCAATCACGGATAAGTCAAAAATCTGTGTTATTTCTGAACAGGAGTTATGTCATGGAACCAATGCAGCACAGACAGCTTGAAATATCAACAAAGTGTTTGGGAAGGATGTGGCTAATGAACGCACAGTACGTCGATGATTGGAGAAGTTCCATTCTGGTGATTTTAATCCTGAAAAGGAGCCGTGTGACCTAAGACCATGGTGGCAAATGATGAGCTGAAAGCTGTAGTGGAAGCGAATCCATCTCGACCTACACGTGAATTAGCAGCAAGGTTTGACATTATTATTCCAGCAATACTGGACCATTTGAAACAGATCAGCAAGGTAAAGAAGCTGGATGGATGGGTACTCACAGGAATTAAATGAGCATCAGAAGATAAATCATCTCGAAGCTTGCCTTTCTTTGCTGTCAGGACATAAAGGCAAACCATTTCTATGCTGTATTGTCACATGTGATGGAAATGGATTATTTTTGACAATTGCAAGTGTTCAGCACAATGGCTGGATAAAGATGAAGTGCCCAAATACAGCCCAAAACTGAATAATCATCAAAAAAAGCTAACGGTGTCTATTTGGTGACCCAGCGCTGGTATTATCCACTACAGCTTCATGACACCCGGTCAACTGATTATAGTGCATGTCTACTGCAACCAACTGGACAAAATGATGAAGATGCTTGTGATTAAGCAGCTGAGACTGGTCAATAGAGACAGGCCAATCCTCTTGTAAGACCACGTGTTGCACAAACAATGCTGCTCAAACTACAGAGGCTGGACTCGGAAACTCTTTATCATCTACCATATTCACCAGACCTTGCACCAACTGACTACCGCTTCTTCCAGACTTTGGACCACTTCTTTTTTTGAGACAGAGTCTCACTGTGTTGCCCGGGCTAGAGTGCCATGGCGTCAGCCTAGCTCACAGCAACCTCAAACTCCTGGGCTCAAGCAATCC